CATCGGCGCTGTTTTTACCGCCCTTAGAAATAGAGGCTAAACGGAGTGCGACGAGTACCAACCATCTTGAAAGCGCAGTAGACTGCGGCAGTCATTGTCGTAGTTTTAGAACGATAGAATAACGGTTTAGACCGGGGCACTAGAATTGTAGTAATGTAGAAGTATCAAGCGCTAGACTAGATGGTCTATTGTTGGTATTAGAGGTAGAATAGACTACAGTGGATAGGGTAGAACGGGCTTGTGGCAGATATTTATATCGAGCTGAACGAAGCAAAATTGGCGGGAAAAAGCAAGACCTTGTAGAGAAATCGATAGGAATCGAAGGAACCGGATGTAGTACAATACTAGTTGAAGCAACTCAATAGCATTTCGTACATGGTAATACCAGCGCGAAAACTAATGATGGTTAATACGGTGTATTTCGGTACATGTAGTTGCTATATCGTCTTATAGTCGCTTACTTTACGGGATGGCAGGAAGCGTTGACAAACTAATTTGAGGTAGATCTCAGCCTAATCGTGGACCGGTTAATTTAACTGTCTGAGCCAACATAATTGGAAATATCAGACTTACACTGACGAACCTGTATAACTTTTATGCAGTATGTCAATTTTATTAAATTATTATATTATACTAAAATTTTAAATAACGGCACACATCTTCATCATATATATATATATATATATTTTTTTAATGTATTTTTCATTTATTTAATGACTAGATATTTTGATACGGGACATTTATATCTTGCCGGAATATACGTTATATATATATATATATACATTGTAATAATCTGTACCGCTAGCGATGTTCTTTTTAATTCCTTCATTACACATTGGTGTTACTTTGTTCTTTTTCTACCGTCCGCTTCTCTCTTAATGATCGGTCTCTACAGTTAGCTGCGGCATTATTCACTGAGTCAATTGATGATTTGAAGCGGTACGAGCAATAATCTACAATAGCTCTATTCATTTCTCTACTGTTTCCGCTCTACATTTCTATATGTTTATTTCTACGCGAGTTTGTAGGGCTCTGCCTGAATCCGACAGGCCACTCGGCATTAACGAACATTATCATTAAACATTATTGCTGTCCGGGTGTATAGGATGAGCTGGCCTATCATTTGTCGTCGCATGAGACCGTCCGACTGGTCACGGCCTGTACTTCACCTTCTCTTTGCCAGTTTCTATCACACATTTCCTGCTCAGATACTCACCTTCATTGGCTGATCTAGCTTATTTGTGAGCTGTTTTACGTTCACAATGGTGTCCAGTGACTGAGTTTGGTCCATAGTCCCCAGCGCAGGCCGATGTTGTACTGTTTCGCTGTTGCTATAATAGCCTGATCCCATCTCTTGTTCCCTTCCGTCCTCGACTGTCGTGAATGAGTCATTCTTTTCGTAGAATCACACACTGTCACTCGTGATAGCCGCTGATTGTTTCGTTGAGCGAAGAGCGCTCGACGCCGCTGCTCGCCTGCGTTTGGTGAGCCGCGACCGCCTCTATCGCCGCCAGCAACTGCCTATCCTGTCGACGGTCTCTGTGCGTCCGGCAATTGGCGAGGTGGCACGAACCGGTACCGTTCCGTTGTAGACAGCCAGTCTACCACCGAACGCAGACATCTTATTCTTCACTCGCATTGCCGCCGATCTTGCTATAGCTACTTTCAATGAATGCAGACCGCAGACACACCTGGACAAAGGGGCAAAGATAGGAATGACAGAAAGGCAGGCAAATGGCATACATATATTCCAGCATCAGTATCTATCTCTCTTTTTACGTATGCGTGTCATCCACTTTCTGTACGTACACACCTATTACATTTCTACTACGGAACGCATGCGTGAACACACACCGGTGCCCAACATATCGACTTTTGCGCATTGAAGCGACAGCGTATAGGCGCGACCCGCAAGAATGGCGTTTATGTACTGTATGTTGTCTGTCTTTGTCATTCCGTTGTGACCTTCCTGTATAACAGCAGTAGCAAAAGCAGTTCGTGTGACGACAGCGACACATCCGTAGCTACTACAACTGCCACGATATAACTGCTGGTGCATTGGCGCTTGGCGTAATCTCCCGAAGTCAACCTAACCACTATCAATTCTAGATGATTTTAGTTGATATATATGGTATTGCGCATATGATTGTGTCCTGCTTGCGATAAGGGCCTGAGACCCGTGAAGGACTCGTGTTCACATAGTCGCAACGGCGATTGGGATGGCCGTAGCGATAAAACCACAAACGCATAATTACGACGATTGATCACCACGCGATCTATACCCGGAAAGCAAAGGAAAATGGCCTCGGAATTTCATTAAGCGACTAAGACGATGGTTTCTCTCTTCTGAATGAGAAAAGGAAATTAAGCTAGCTTTAGCCTACGACTGAGAATAACGAGATGTGTCGCCACAGCTGAAAGAATCTATAGCGTCGCCATTTAAATGGCATACGCGTTATGGAAAATATAAATCGTTGAATTGGCGGTAGGCTACTGTCAACTACTTGACATTAGCTGTAGGTCACCTACCGAGAATATTGTTCCTTCGTGGAAGCAGGTGCTGCGAGCAACAAATTGTCGGGTTGCAAGGAATGACAAACTCACATGAGAAGTTCAATGATGGGTCCCATCTACTCGTACAATGCCCACGCTATATGTACAGAACGTTGCCAGGTTCGCGCATGTCTGACAGCTGCGTTCAGAGAAGCGCAGACCGATCAGTAAGTAGCCTAGTGGCTATACCGGTGCGCGATCGTTGCGAAAGCCTCGACCAGTAATGCGCGATGTTCGAAAAAGTTCATATGGTGGATTTTGGTGCCTAAGTGATTATCCTTTCGATTTTTAGTTGCGCTTAAATTTCCAAAGTAATTTTGACGTATCCAATTATCTAACAATAAAACTTTACTAAAGCTAGCTAACGATAACATAGGCTGAAGTTTTTCACGTATATTTTAGTGTTATTTCCTCAGTCCTCTCGATGGCCTCATTATTATGTGATAATATGGTTGGGAAAATTCGCGACGTCGATATTTTGTCGACCCAGCCAGCAAAAATGACAACGATAAACAATTCAGAAAAATTCATTCAATTTTCTCGTTGTGGCCAAAGAAGAGCTAAGCCCTTTTACATGGGAAACTTTCACATAAGCGGCAACAAATAAGGAACAAGTGAAGAAGAACCGCTGGCCTATTTATATAGCGGATAGATATATACCTTTACGTGCGTATCTGAATAGGTGTAAAGAGATGTCATAGAAAAGAATAACAATAACTTCGACAGAAATGGCAGGGTCAATAGAAAATAAGTAGCAGATGACAGCTCGTGATGATTATGACATATGTGCTGTCATATGACTAACTGCTTATATTGTTGGCAGAACACGGGCTTTGTAGAGCGACGAATAAGAAACACGACGAAGCGACACGCATGGACCTATGAATGTGGCCCACGACTGTGCGGTGACTAAGTCAGCAATGACGCGATAGGACTTTGTTTTTCCCCTCGCTGCGTGTATACGAACGATGGCCACTGAAGGCTGCTTTAAAGGTACCTCATCGCATTGGAATATATTCCATTGTAATGAAGTATCTTTGTAGAATGCCTAAAATAAGGTACATGTATGGCTGAGTATGTAAATGCGTTTCAATATGAATTGAGAAGGTTGTTAAACGAATCCTAAAAAAAAACATCATAATCAGATTACTACAGAAGAGCTTTGCAACTGCAACAGAATTTCGTGGTACACAAGGATATTTTTAAAGTATGCTTTTCTCCTGTTTGTTGGCTTTACGTGCATGCTAAACACGTTTTAGATATGTATTAAAGCTGCTTCTAGAACCTAAAGCGAGCGAGCCTTGTTTTGATCACTCCTATTCCATACTATAATATTGCGTCTTCTATAGCTCGCCTCAATTTGCTCAGACAGACAGAACAACTACTTGTGATTGAGACATGTGTGAGTCTTATTCAGATTACTATAGCTGTTGTTACAGGGTAGTTAAACAGAAAACTAATTTTTCGAAAGCCACAAAAATAACAAATTTTTACTAGGAAGACTCATACGTTAAGTACGACATACACGATTCTAGTAAATGCATTGTGCGAGAAAAATTGTGCGGGTAAGTGTAGAAAGTACACAGGTAGCTGCTAGCCCATTTGATGTGAGTTTCCCAAATGATTATCAGGGTCGAGATACAATTCAGAAAATAGGGTTCAATCTAATCGGCCAACTATTACTAAACCTTTCATGCATTGACATTAAGCGATGAGGAGTCGCCTATCGCGTAGCAGAGGAAGAATGAAGAAGCCTGATAAGGCGCCGATAGCGAAGAAATCAACGGGTACATTACACTCTTAATGATTATAGCCTGCTGTGACTCATGTTTTTCTCACTTGTAATCGAAATATATTGGCTATGTGCGTTCTTCTTAGAAACGCTACTATGTATTTTGGCTTACACACATTTTCTACTTAACGTTCTCTAAACCACTGACTTCGAGCTAAGGTATGGTTTTTTTTCTCTTGCGGAAAGTTTTCTTCATCGGAGTTATGTGGTAACTATACGGCACAATAAGAGATTACGTGAAACGTAAATTTTCAACTTGTTTATGTATTACTTTATGCATACGTTTGTTGTGTGGATGGGTTTTTTCGAACCGTAAATAGGAGGATACTTCAATACAAGAAATGTTTGTGCGCAATTAATAGCGCGTTTGGAACCAGAGCGGCAGCTCTTCATGATTTTTATCAGACTAGATGTAACATATTAAGTGTTAGACAGATTTGACGATTCAGCATTGTATTTATCATTGGCCCGTTTACGCTTATCACAACAAGTATGTGTTCGTCAAAAATAAATGTTCCTTAGAGTATACATTTATATACAGATCTACATCTATAAATCCATATACCGAAGGCTTGTAATCGACTTTCGAATTACGAAATCTTAGCTTTTTTATTTAACTGACTAACTGGTTCTTCGGCATCGTGCTTTATTATAGTACGGACGGTCTCCGTCCCCTTTCTTCGATAAGCTGGACTACGACACGAACTCGTCTTCGGGGGGCGGCGCGGGCTCAGTGACATCTGCCATTAATACGCTGTTTGGTTTCACCTCACCCCATGTCAAGAAGCTGCTCGGATGGAAGCAGGGGGACGAGGAGGAGAAATGGTAAGTTTATCTATCCGTAATTTCTCTGCGTACTGCATATAAACCATATCACCCGCTTTTTCGAATGCTTTAGTTTTGAGATCGATTATCAACTTCGTATGCATAATAATCGATCGATATCTCGCATACAGGAAGCCTTTGTAAATCAGACCATATCACCGTTGCCAGTTCCCGGCACTCTGCTAATGACTACGCCCTTACATTGAAAATGCGTAGGTAGGGGAGCGTAGAGCTATATGGGTCAAGGTTTCTTCAACGCTATTGTTGAAAACAACCGGTGTCATGAGAGGGGAAAAATGTACCGGTCTATTCGTGAAAGACTTTTCTACTATCTATTATACTATTATTTCTATGAAGTTTAAATGAGCTTACTACGACTCATTAATTTCCAAGAAGATATCAAGTGAGAGCATCTACATCGCTGGCCCATAGAGCTTAACAACGTGCAATTTTATGAATAAAAATGCGTTTCCTCCTAGAAAGAGATCTGACTATATGTAGAGTAGTAGATATTTTAAAATAATTTACTGCTCAATTAAATAGGTCAAGGATTATAATTCGTTTATAAACGCTTCCACTCCAAAGCTCACTTGGCCGCACCGAAGCCTATATCATTATCACGGTTATGCATGATTCTATCACAAATAATTATCCATGGTACGTTCTGATCATGATCGTGATTACCCGTAATGTGATGCAAATGTTGACGACGTGCTCAGTACGAGTGACGCGTTTAGTCAATAAAGTCGTCAAAGTTTCTTTCAAGAGAAATTACATGTGACATGTCAGTGGCAACATCGACTTGTCTAGGAGTGTAAAAGGTATGATCACTTAGTTACCTTAACATATATACGCATCTACTCATTCCTATTAAGCTGAGTTGTTCTCAGGAACTACTTAATTTCTAAGTAAAATTAGCATCGATGGCATCCAGTGTCATAGATGCCCAAAATGTAACGGCCTATACAGTTCCTCAACTTGGCTCACAGCTTCAAAAATGGTCGATAAAATTAAAAAACATGCTTAGCTGTCCCGTATAATTCAAGCTTTTGAGTTTTCGCAACATTTCTGACCCGTGTATCTAAAAAACTATAATTTTCATAGCAATATAATTGCTTGCTAAAAAATAGGGAGCGGCTTATATAGCTCCGCCTTCACCTGTACCCAGTAATAGGATATTTAGAGAATTTCTTAATTACCAGTAGTAAATACAACCAAAGACATACTTCTGGGAGAGTTTGCAGTCTTTGAGGGTAACAGCTTCGGACCGTGAAAACCAGCATAGATTTGTTAGAGTTTTCTTTAAGAGAAAACTTACGTCTGCTGAATGATTCCTAGAAATTCATAGAAGTCATATTATAAACTCCTAGTTCTCATTTTTTCTGAATACTGTAGTTAGCGGAGACGTAAGTACTTGGATGCAAAATAAAAATTGTGCTTTTTTTTTATCGCTGTATTATCCGTTCCATTGACTAGGGCTGAAAAAGCTGTTGACTCACTGGTGAAAAAGTTGAAAAAGCGTAAAGGCGCAATCGAGGACCTGGAAAAAGCGCTAGCATGTCCGGGTCAGCCGTCGAAATGCGTCACGATCCCACGTTCACTCGATGGTCGCCTCCAGGTCTCACATCGGAAAGGCCTTCCACATGTTATCTACTGCCGAGTGTGGCGTTGGCCCGATTTGCAGTCGCACCACGAGCTCAAACCATTGGATATATGCCAGTACCCATTCAGCGCAAAACAGAAGGACGTCTGCATAAATCCCCATCACTACCGGTTAGTAAATACATGTTAGCAAGAGTTGTCAATAGTGGTTGTTGAGGAAACCTAAAACGTTTGGCTTGACAGTAACAATGTTTTTACGTACCGTACACCATCTTCTAACGTATCCAAATGCGGTACCATCAGCTTATACCCTTCTTTATACGGTCCACTAAACGACTATTGTTATTATATTACCATAACTTTAATATCGTCATTTGGTACTATGTCATTCAATATGATTCAAAGTAACTGTAATCGAACAGGAAGTGCGTTTACGTTAAGTTGCCTAGATAGAGCATGTCCGATAAGGTTAATAGCCACTGTTAATAGACAAGCCGTTTCAGTCAAGACCGATGAAAGCAGAAGGCCGTGTTCGATATTGCGCACGTTAAACTTATACCTGTAGTCAAGTCGAGTTGCTAAAGTACTTTAGTTCTGTCTAGTGAAATTAAATTTGAATTGCAATCACGAAACGTTCCTTTCAGACGTGTGGAATCTCCAGTCCTTCCGCCAGTCCTGGTTCCACGACATTCGGAATATCCACCAGGCCACACAGGTCTACTGGGTCCTCCGCCTGCACCGTTCCGACCCATGCCGGAACCGGCAATGCCTCACAACGTTGCATTTACTCCCCATGTAAGCTATAGTAAATACAGTGATAAAATTAAACTGAATTCGAGTAACAATAGAAAAAAAGGTCGTTAAAAGCCTTATATTCAACCAAGCGTAAATATTATTCATTCCTATTAGTGCTGGTAGTTGTTTCTAAAGGGGTGTCTAAATGCTGTGCACAGGAAATCGTTGGGTCAGGTCTGCTATCGCGTATAGTGCATATCGTTTTTATTAGCATGATCCTTTATCACGACCTTTTATCCATTGAAATTCAACTACACCATACAAGTTTCATTAATTGCAGTTTTTGCGTTCATATTGGTATCACCTCAACCATACTTATCCTTTTGTTAACGATTTATTGAACAAAGCGTTCCACCCAAAATTTTTGTCGGTGTATTTTTTCTAGGGGTTCGTTCAGCAGTCGCTTCATAACCAGACGGTTCCATCGCCTGGCACCGGCGCCCGATCTCCCTCGTCTCTGCCTCCATCCTCGCCGCACTCGATGGGAATCGCCGAGACACCTCCTCCAGCGTATTCACCGCGAGCGCCTTCATCCGATACGGGCCATGACGCGTTGCATAACAATACCAATAACAATAACAACAACCCCAATAATCCAAACAATAACAATAATACAAATGGCAGTCATGGCCAGGACCATAATAGCAACAATGGCCAACATCAGCAGATGGATATCGTATCAGCGGGACAGCCAGCAATAGCACCCGAATCGGAAATGCACGCCGTCGACTACCAGGAACCGCAGTACTGGTGTACAATCGCGTACTATGAATTGAACTCGCGTGTTGGTGAGGCGTTCCACGCGCAGAGTCATAACATCGTAATAGATGGGTTCACCGATCCATCGAATAACTCGCATCGCTTTTGTCTCGGACTTCTATCGAATGTCAACCGAAACTCAACGATTGAGAACACCCGACGCCACATCGGTCGAGGGGTTAACCTCTACTACGTTAGCGGTGAGGTTTATGCCGAATGCCTATCGGACTCGGCCATTTTCGTACAGTCGCGAAACTGCAATCAAGCGCATGACTTCAATCCGACCACCGTGGTGAAAATCCCGCCCAATTGTTCGTTAAAGATTTTCAACAACAAAGACTTTGCAGCGCTGCTCTCAACGGCCGTAAACCACGGATTCGAAGCGGTATACGAGCTGACCAAGATGTGCACTATTCGAATGTCATTTGTCAAGGTGAGCTTTTACAGATGCCGGGTATCGTTAAACCAAGCAAGGATGTCAACTATTATTTAAGTAGCTGTAGCTTTTAAAATTATCAACTTACTATTGGCATGACAATAAGTCATGCCAACATTGATTTGACTGGTACGACTTGTTCGCACACAACACTTAAACTACAATGCGTAATAATTAGTTATTTCGCTTACTTAGAAATACTTAATACGTATGTGATATAAAATTATTGCGTACACACCTGTGATGGATATGTCTCTGATTAATATATTAGGTAAACAAATTTGGTAGTAGCATAAATAAACATTCCGGAAAACACCAAATGTCTGTATATCATTCCCTCCTGGTAAAAAAAATTAATATTTATTTGCTGGTATATTCGTAGGGCTGGGGTGCTGAATATCACCGACAAGACGTAACGTCGACACCATGCTGGATCGAGATTCATCTCTCAGGTCCTCTACAGTGGCTTGACCGCGTTCTTACGCAAATGGGCTCACCACGTGGTGCCATCACCTCTGTATCATAAATGGGTTCCGCTAGCGAACAATAGAACCTCAACAGGCCTCTAGGTTTTGGCAGCCACATAGCCCACCTTTACCTATGTACGACAGACATTACGATGGAGTATCGAATAACTTCTTCGATATAAGCAAACCATAACGATTCAGCCGTATTCGACGGACCTCGAAGCCGGAATAAGGTTGCATTGTCTCGCAGCTTTTAAAAATTCCCAATCCTGATGAATTCAATACTGAGCATCCAAACATGCCACATCTCTATTGTTGCGGAAGGCGTTTGCATTGATCATGTCGAGTGCAGCGTCCCTGTAATCTATTCGCCAGTTAGCTCGGCAGTGATGTTCTCTGTATAAACGATGATTACGACGACGTAAATGATGACTCGAGCGTACGGGTTGAGGCTGCTGCGGGTATGTCGTTTTAGAGCGTTTCTTGCTGCGAAATCCGGTTGACGTTGCAGATGGCAGAACTGTCCATAAAAAATTTACCTATCAGCCGAATTGTTTGCAGTGTACGTCTACACGAGAGGGACTAAATAGATTTCCGGTCTAATAAGATGATCACGAAAAGCAGGTTTACGTTCTACGAGCAATTTATTATAGTGACGACTACTACTACTACAAGGATTAAGAGCTGCCATAGTGCAAAGTGTCCAACCCCCACCAAACTACTGCGTCACATATCTCGGCTTGACAGCTCGCAACGTTCCCCACCCGTATGTCGGAGTGAATTGATGTCCGCAGTACATACCTAGATACCCACGTAAAAAAATGACTCGATAAACTAACTGGGTGAACAAGACGTACTTGAATGACGCCATGGGCGCCGAAAATAGAAGGCTCCGGTCAGCTGTGGTGCTTCTCCCAAGCTTCAACGGCCGTGGACCAAGTTGCCGGATGAAGGCAAATTGTGCTAGGAGCGACTGGTGTATATCTTTATAAATCGTGTGCTAAAGAGACTTCAGATAACGAAAAAACTAACAATAATGCCTTACTAATGGAGCGCGCCCATGGCAGAACGGGAAAAAAAATCGACAGAGAAGGAGAGAAAGAGTAATAATCATATTTAGTGATAACAACAACAACAACAACAACAACAACAATAATGACGTGGTGAATAGTAACATCAGCAACAATTACAAATAACAATAGCTATGACTATAACGATAACAATACTTCTAGTTATAATAATAGTATCGTATTGATGACGATGTATCTAAAATGATGTGCGAAGACCACACGATCAATATCATCATTCAACGTTCGACACCTCTGCTCTGTTACGTTAACGCTGTACCAACAAGCGAACAACTTTTCTTCAAGTCTGATTGAGAGTTTTTTTATAGAATTAAATTTTTCAATCGAAAGGTTGAATTTAGTAGTAAAAGAATTCTGTTCTCTGGTGGTAGTAACACTTGAGTTTGCGCTAGCTGAAATGACGGCGACGGAAAGTTCGTCAGCTTCTAAATAAAGGTTTGTATTTCTGAAAGGGTGAACAAATAACTCAATTATAACTATTGAATAAGTGAGAGATCATAACGGAATGCTCTTCCATTGCGAAATCAAAGTCGATTTCAGCCGAGAAAGGCCATAAGCAGCCGTCAACAGAGCCACAGCAAGCATTATGTTTACGATAATGATGATGATGATGATAATGATGCCAGTGACCGTATATAAATATATACAACTATGTATTATGACATTAAGTTAAATAAATGGCGTATAGAACAAAGAAGAAACAGAATGACTGAAGTGTGGTCCCCTGGAGTATACATGAGCGTATATATATGTCCAATGAGATACATCTGGTCCAAGATCAATAATAAATAATTATGAAACCGGGAAAGAATAGATATAGGTCGAAAATAAGACCAACACCGGCAACAGGAAACACGATTTCATCATTGATTATAATGTATGTAAACTATGACACCGAACAACGTAAGGGACGTGATAATAGTGATCACAATAATAATAACAACAAAAAAGGTCAGCATTATATTCGAGCATAACAGTAGTTATAGCGAGTTACGGCTTGTTTTGTTGTTGTGAATAGGACGGCTCTACGAAAGCGAAGAAGGTCGATCGTTCTAGAGACGAAAAAAGCTTGACAACGACATGACGAACTTATACACAAATACAGCAAATACATGTTCGGCTATACACAACAATAAAAACTTTCCCATAAACAACACAAAACACACGAACAATCTCATATGAACAATATTTCTAGACAGACATCAGGACCATATA